CGCTGGCGGTGGAGTCCCCTCAAAAGTCAGCTGAGGGGGGGGGGGGGGACTCGGGAGGAGGAAAAAACTTTTCTTGCTGCTCATTTTAAGGCTCTGCAGAGATTATTGTAGAGCGGAGCTGCTGCTTCTCCCTGTCGCACGGCCATTCAGGGGGATCAGATTCCTTTTTTTTTTATACAGGCGGCTCCAGGAATTTCCAGCTTTTTATTTATTGCTCAGGATTGTTTCGTTTTACGTTTCTTTTTTGGGGGTTTTTACCTTTTTTTCGTTGCTGCTGGAGTTTTTTCAAGCTGCACTTTTGCGCTGAGCCTTTTTTGCCAAGATGGTGGCCGGGATGCTGATGCCGCGGGACCGCCTGCGGGCGATCTACGAAATCTTTTTCAGAGATGGTGTCATGGTGGCGACGAACGACGAGAGGCCTCAGAGCCGCCACGCTGAGGTGCCCGGCGTCACCAACTTGCAGGTGACCAAAGCCATGGGCTCGCTAAAGTCACGTGGGCTCGTCCGGGAGACTTTTGTATGGCGGCATTGCTACTGGTACCTCACCAACGAGGGCATCGCTTACCTTCGCCAGTACCTGCATCTGCCTCCTGAGATTGTGCCGGCATCTCTCCAGAGAGTGAGGCGTCCTGTGCCTTCCGTGGGTGCACCCAGGAGGACACCTGCTGACAACGTGCAGTCCGTCCGAGGACCTACATCCTACGTCCCAAAGCCCCAGGGCGACACGGAGAGGCAAGAGTATCGGCGAAGAGAGCAGACTGCGACCCAGAGAGAACAGAACAGCACGCATGGCTCCTCCACTCCCCACGTGGTTGACAACAGCTGGCAGGAAGGTGGGTGGCAGAGATTTGCGGACAGGGATGAGCAGAAGGGGGGAACAAGTTACCCTAGTCATGCTTTTCATGTCCCGAATGGTGGAGAGAAGTGGGGTAGCAGCCGGGAAAGTCAGAAGTGGGATGAGGGTAGGAAGAGATCTGTAGAGGGGACAGCCTTAGAGAGCACAGAGCGGAAAACGGTCATAGAGATCACACAGAGGAGGACAGCTGAGAAGAGGCTGGCAGAGACTCAAGGGCTCAGGAAGCAGGAGGTTACAAGCAGACAGGCAGGGAGAGCACATGCTGACTTTCTGACAGCTTTGAGTCCCGTCACCTCCATTCATGAGAGACAGGAGGAAAGGAGGGAGGGGAATCAAGCAAGGGAGACTGAGATCGTTATAAATAGCGTCACCTCAACCTCACAAGTACATTATGCAGGAAAGAAACCCTGGGCCAAACTGGTACAAACACAGGAGGAGGTTGGAAACCTAGTAGTAGAAAAATCAGTTGAGCGCCATGTAGTCCCCTCAATGTCGGTGACTTCAGTCACCACTCATAAAACACTACAGACCATCACCCACGTGCAAGGGGAAAACATGGAGGTCAAAGAGGCGTCAGATGTGCAAAAGGTATTATTTGAGCAGAAGCCCAAGCAGGAGAAGGGCCAATCAAAAATACAAAAGGAAAAGGAGAAGCAAACCAGCACAGAAGTAGTGGAGGCCGTGCAGGCCTCAAGCATAGCGGCCTCTCATGTAGAGTCAGTTAAAGTAGAAACTATGCAAGAAAATTATTTTCAAAAGAAGGACCATATCGATGTACAGGTAACTGAACCTCGGGTAGCTACAAACCCAGAGGCTGCAGAGTCACAGGGTCAAGGGAGTAAGCGAAAAAACAAAAAGAAAAAAGAGAGAGAAGAGATTTCTGAAATTCCAAGTCCAGTAACTTTAACAGTCACACTTCCAATTACTGAGGCAAAAGGAGGCATCCAGTTAGAAGAGGTTAAAGGTCAGGAGGAACAGAAGGAGGCCCAGGAAAAATTATCAGAAAGACAGAAAAAGCAAAGTCCTGAATCAAATATTCAACCCAAGAGTGAGGTTAAGAAGGAAGAGCCCAAGCCCAAGAGTGAGGCTAAGAAGGAAGAGCCCAAGCCCAAGAGTGAGCCCAAGAAGGAAGAGCCCAAGCCCCAAAGTGAGGCCAAGAAGGAAGAGCCCAAGCCCAAGAGTGAGGCCAAGCAGGAAGAGCCCATGCTCAAGAGTGAGGTTAAGAAGGAAGAGCCCATGCTCAAGAGTGAGGTTAAGAAGGAAGAGCCCATGCTCAAGAGTGAGGTTAAGAAGGAAGAGCCCATGCTCAAGAGTGAGGTTAAGAAGGAAGAGCCCATGCTCAAGAGTGAGGTTAAGAAGGAAGAGCCCATGCTCAAGAGTGAGGTTAAGAAGGAAGAGCCCATGCTCAAGAGTGAGGTTAAGAAGGAAGAGCCCATGCTCAAGAGTGAGGTTAAGAAGGAAGAGCCCATGCTCAAGAGTGAGGTTAAGAAGGAAGAGCCCATGCTCAAGAGTGAGGTTAAGAAGGAAGAGCCCATGCTCAAGAGTGAGGTTAAGAAGGAAGAGCCCATGCTCAAGAGTGAGGTTAAGAAGGAAGAGCCCATGCTCAAGAGTGAGGTTAAGAAGGAAGAGCCCATGCTCAAGAGTGAGGTTAAGAAGGAAGAGCCCATGCTCAAGAGTGAGGTTAAGAAGGAAGAGCCCATGCTCAAGAGTGAGGTTAAGAAGGAAGAGCCCATGCTCAAGAGTGAGGTTAAGAAGGAAGAGCCCATGCTCAAGAGTGAGGTTAAGAAGGAAGAGCCCATGCTCAAGAGTGAGGTTAAGAAGGAAGAGCCCATGCTCAAGAGTGAGGTTAAGAAGGAAGAGCCCATGCTCAAGAGTGAGGTTAAGAAGGAAGAGCCCATGCTCAAGAGTGAGGCTAAGCAGGAAGAGCCCAAGCCCAAGAGTGAGGCCAAGCAGGAAGAGCCCAAGACCAAGAGTGAGGCCAAGCAGGAAGAGCCCATGCTCAAGAGTGAGGTTAAGAAGGAAGAGCCCATGCTCAAGAGTGAGGCTAAGCAGGAAGAGCCCAAGCCCAAGAGTGATGCTAAGAAGGAAGAGCCCAAGCCCAAGACTGAGGTTAAGAAGGAAGAGCCCAAGCCCAAGAGTGAGGCTAAGCAGGAAGAGCCAGAGCCCAAGAGTGAGGCTAAGCAGGAAGAGCCCAAGAACAAGAGTGAGGTTAAGCAGGAAGAGCCCAAGCCCAAGAGTGAGGCTAAGCAGGAAGAGCCCAAGCCCAAGAGTGAGGCTAAGCAGGAAGAGCCCAAGAGTGAGGCTAAGCAGGAAGAGCCCAAGAACAAGAGTGAGGTTAAGCAGGAAGAGCCCAAGCCCAAGAGTGAGGTTAAGCAGGAAGAGCCCAAGCCCAAGAGTGAGGCTAAGCAGGAAGAGCCCAAGCCCAAGAGTGAGGCTAAGCAGGAAGAGCCCAAGGCTAAGCAGGAAGAGCCCAAGCGTGATGCTAAGCAGAAAGAGCCCAAGACTGAGGTTAAGCAGAAAGAGCCCAAGCCCAAGAGTGAGGTTAAGAAGGAAGAGCCCAAGCCCAAGAGTGAGGTTAAGAAGGAAGAGCCCAAGCCCAAGAGTGAGGTTAAGAAGGAAGAGCCCAAGCCCAAACCTGAGGTTAAGAAGGAAGACTCCAAGCCCAAGAGTGAGGATAAGAAAGAAGGCCCCAAACCCAAAAAAGAGCAGGAAGCTGAGGTGGCCCAGGCCTCAACTGAAGTGACTGTGATTAGTGAACCCCTAATAACCAAACAGCAGAAAATAAAGGAAATTACACAAACCGTTCGGGAGGAAACCATTGTACAGGTGACACTTAGTCAAACAAGCTTGAGTGTAGTCACCAGCAAGACAGAGCAGCAACTAGAGATACAACAGGGCAAAAAGGAGAGCAAAGCTTGGAAACAGAAAGATGCTGTTGAAGAGATGGTTGAAAAGTCTTTCACCAGCAAAGGAGGGTATCTGCAAGAAACCATTCAGTCTAGTGTAGAACAGGCAGTTGGTCAGGAAATTGGGTCTAAGGAGGCTTCCCTCCAACCTAGCATAGACCAGAAAATTGTACAAGAGAAGAGTAAAAAGGGGTCCAAGAGAAAGGGTGACAAGTCCAGGGAGGAGGCTGTAGAATCCACAAAATTAGATGAGTTGGAGGTCTCTGCTACCAAACCAGCAAAGAAAGAGAAGGAGGAGCTTATCCTCCAACCTAGTGTAGACCAGAAAATTTGGCAGGAGAAGAGCAAAAAGGGGTCCAAGAGAAAGGGTGACAAGGCCAAGGAGGAGGCTGTGGAATCCGCAAAATTATATGAGTTGGTGGTCTCTGCTACCAAACCAGCAAAGAAAGAGAGGGAGGAAGTTATCCTCCAACCTAGTGTAGACCAGAAAATTTGGCAGGAGAAGAGCAAAAAGGGGTCCAAGAATATGGGTAACAAGGCCAAGGAGGCAGGTGTAGAATCAGCAAAAATGGAAGGCCCAGAAATCTCTGCCACCCAGCCATCAAATGAGGAGGGTACCCACGAAAAAGATCAGAGCAAAGCTGAACCAAAATGTGAAATTCAACAAAAGCAAATAAGGACAATAATACTAGATGATTTCACTGTAGATCAAAGTGTTGGCTCTCCAATCACTAAGGTCAAGCAGGAGAAAGGTTCAGAGATCCTCCATTCTCTGGAACCTAAACAGGAGGGAGAAGAAGCAAAACTGGAAGCAACCAATAAAAAGTCCACTTCTGAAATCAAGAAAATGGATGACCTGGAAGTGTCTTTAGCTACTGCTTCCCAGAAACCTCCAGTGGCTAAAGAAGAAAAAGTGGTCTTTATTTCAGAAACTCAGACTATGACACAACAAAGGTCCATCACGACAAAGAAAGTCTTACATATCCAGAGTCATCTCCAAAGTGTGTCTGTTTCATTTACTTTACCTCATCATAACGCACAAGATTCCCATCCAGAGGAAGATACCCGGGAGACACTGGCAGCTACAGGTGCGGGCATCTGTGTTCCAGAAACTGAGCCATTACCAGGGACCAAGGAACCGACATCCGAACCGGACATGTCAGACCAGACAGACAGAGGACAAGACCCTCAAACTGTATTAGATCCTTCAAAAACAGCTCTGCTTACTCTAAATCTTTCCAAATCCAAAGATGATGTTCTCAAAGCCTTGTCAGAAACCAAGACCAAAGACGAGGTTCTCCAAGCTGCATCAGGGACCGTTCCTATCCAGAACCCACCTGAGCGCAAAGATGAGGTCCTCCAAGTGGTGTCAGAAACTGTTTCTTCTCAGAATCCACCTGAATCCAAGAAAGAGGTTCTACGAGTGGTATCAGAAACTGTTGTCCTTACCCGGAAAGCACCAGAAGTTAAGAAGGAGGTCCTCCATGCTGTGTCAGAGTCTGCCATCATTACCCAGAATCCTCCAGAAGCCAAAGAGGAGGTCCTTCATACTGTGTCAAAAACTGTTGTTCTTACCCAGAATCTTCCACAAACTAAAGATGGTAAAGAGACTGTCCATGTAAAGTCCAAGACAGGAAGTCAGGCTAAGGTTGCCGAGAAGACCACAGAGGAGGTGCCGAATCCAGAAGCTTCTCCTGAGGAAGGTATGTACAGATATCACACACTGTAAATTATAGTTCCCTGTCATGCTGGTCCTTCGCTGTCTTCTGTCTTTATACGCCAAGTGTGATAGGTCAATAGGTGTGTGGTGGGTCCAGTCAGCTGATCATTGAAGGTACCGCTCATCGGAGTGACTGCTCCTCCCAAAGGTATTATTTTAGTGATTTGGTGGATGTTGGTTATGAAGTGAGCGCGTTTCTCCCCCGAGACGTAAATCGCTACTTTTGGACGGGTTGACCATCATACGTCTTAGCAGTCGTCATAGCTGTCCGCATCTCGGTGACTGTGGAATTGTGGCCATGGTCAGTCACTGGTCATTGTGGTCAGATGACATGATGGCGTCTACAACAGACGAAGAAGAACTCTATGATTAGGAGAGGGGATGAGCGCGGTTGGTGTTACCACTCGTCCTATGATCCGCCATCTTCATTGGGCCTATGCCAGTCTTGTCCTCCTCCAGCTGCCTCGTGGATTCTCTGTCCATGCAAACCCCCCCTGTAGATATTTGGGTGGAGTTCCGGCCCGACTGTCTGGAGCGTCTGAACCAGGAAGTGATTCCCATGGGCCATTTCTAGTGGTACTTTGCAGAATCCGAGCGCCGAGATGGGTCATGATCATCCTCTGAACCCTTCCCTTGAGACCTCCTCCAATGATGGCTTTAGATTATATGTCCCACTAGGCTTCCCAGATGGAAGTCTTCTCCGCAGGACAGATTGTAATCTACATACTGAATGTATAACCGCCTGAAATGTCTCGTCTGCCTCCTCGGCCGAAATCAGGCTGACAGTGGGAGGATCTACCAGGATCTGTTGCACTGCACATTGCTTTTGTACTAACATATTTCAGGCACTGGGAGCAGATGGGGTGGGCGTTGAGGCAGCATAGAGCAGAGCACAGGAAAGGCCTTTTAGCAGTGTGATGATTCTTCAATCATACTCCAGTGAGAAGGGAGAGCACCGGGGTGCGGGTTCTGAAAAATGTTGTCACCCTCTGGCTATATACTGTGGCAGGGAGTGTGAGTATATAAGGGGCCCCTGGGATCTGCGTCCACCAGGCCCGGAAAGCCATGTGACGGAGAGCGAATTGGCGGGGCTCCAAACATTACTCGCTGCTCAAGTATGAGACCGCCGCTCAGCGCCTGGCATGTGGGCTGACACCGTGGATCTCGCTGGGTGATAGGAAGATGTGTCCATGGGCAGGAATGAGTCACCGGCATGCCGGGTACCAGCCTACAGAGGGGCACGGTTGGGGTTAATCCGCTTTTCCCCTCTGTAGGCTTGCACCCGCCAGCAGGACATGAGCAGGATTCAGTATGGCACAGGGCAGCTGAGGAACTACAAATCCCAGCAATCCTCTAAGGGACTGTAAATTCCCAGCATGCCCTCCAGTACTAGACAGATCCGTTGTGTATTGCTCTGCTCTTGACT